CGTAAAGATTGGCTTCAAAAAAGGTGGACGTTATGAGGCAAGTGTTTGATAAAAGTGAAAGTGTAAAAAATTAGAGAAACAACTTTTTGAAAAACATGAAAGAAACCAAAGGGACTTTTCTATCTTAATACGAAAAAAAAACCTGGATAGCATACAGCCCCAGGTGAAAGAGAAACTTCCCATTCTTCCAACCGAGATCAACCATTCTCGCTAAATTCTTGGAAAACGGTCTTTTTTAGGAAGTGACCATACAAATCTCACACGAACCATTTCGCAATCCATACTCTCACATTCACATAAGTACTCAGTCTTATTTCACAACGTAATTTTTACAGAGTGGTCGACCAAGAGATAATTCTTTAAGAACAGATTACCTCAGTAAAGCCGAATACAGAAACAGTTCTCAAAGAAAGAAGAGGAAATCAATTCGTCCTAAAGAAATGCAGAAAAACAAAGACGCGACATTAAACAACACTACAAGCTTTATAGTTTTTTTTCACCCAACTCTTAGACTAAACTCTTCCCATTTCTGAATTGTGCTCAAATAGTATCAGGGGCCGTACACTATCCTTTCAGCAAGCTAGGGGAGCAAAAGAGTCCTTCGTTTCCAAAGACACACCTTCCTTACTTTCCACACTCGTTTGCTTGTACACACATATATACATTACAAATATGCAGTTCCTCATGGCGATTTTTGAAACAGAAGAGAATTTTGAGGGATTTTTGTTCCTCTACTGTAGTGGAAGGATAGGATACGGTCACAAGGGTGGGAATGCATCGCTTAAAAGTATTGAAAAATTTCGCACCGATACCACTTAACACTAGCAAGGTTTTCCAACACTCGAAAAAAAAAACCATGAAAAGGGTCACTCAAGAATTATCATTGTAAAAAAGCATCGTAGACTCGCAGCAAGATCAAGAAACATTATGGATGTAAAAAAATATAATTTCAACATGATAAAAACGTTTACGAAGACTAGAAACGAAGGCTATTCCGCCAATCCCCGACTTAAAGAATACATAAGTAGTACATAAGAGTATAACATTAAGAAATCCTGGCGTTCCCATTTCTAAAAACCATTCCTACTATTTAGAAGAACGAAATAAAGCCAGTTGCGGCTAGATGGACATAAATATCCAGAAGAGTAAAGTTTGTACTCATGTGCGGAGATCGTTTCAGAAATGGTGCCTTACAAACCATAAATTTAACAAAATTCGCTGCAATTAATAACAGCATTTATTGCAGTTATCATTTTCAAGAGGCGTAACCAACCATGCCGAAAAAAAGCTTGGGTTGATAAGAACACAACGCAACTTTGCAGATAAAATATTACGGTATAAAGACGAAGATTCTCTGAACATTAAGAGACACATTCGCTGGGCTCAACCAGTTAGGTACAAAAAGGATTCAATGCAACATTCATCGTAAACCTTAGTACTCATCTTGGCACAATGATGGGGCTCCTCCAGAAACAGGGGAAGGGGGTTGATGTTGTTCACATACCCTGAAAGATCACTGAGCTTCTCAAAAATTCGCACCTATTAACAAATGGAGTCTATTCCAGTTAGGGGGGCATGCGGTTTAGAGCGCTCAACAAGTGTAAAACCACGGATAGCATATTCCCTTAGTATAAAGGTTTAGGACTAAGCCTCAGAAGGGAGGGAAACCCCGGGTTCGTGACCTTGCTCACTAAAGTGAAGATTTACTCCCCTTCCTAGATTTAGTGATAACCGATCACTAGAAAAATATTAATTTTCATTGACGTTTATGCGATAAAGCACAAGAACACATACATTTTATAAAAATCGGAGGAAAAAAGCTGATAGCACTTCGTAACTTTAAAGGACTCCTTGAGCCAAACTGGCATTAGAGCAGACTGTGCACCGCAATGCCCCCCCCCCGCCTAACTGGAATAGACCCAACAAATTGTTCTTGGCACCGTTCCCAACTTTTAGTGGATCAGAAAGATAATGGGAAATGTTGGCGTAGTATCAAATGCTTCACGTGTGCACCAAAATTATTGTCTCATTGGAAAAGCGCCGAAATGGATCCATATTGCGTGC